CCTTTTTAATCCTAGGCATGGCTGTTGATGGATTATAGATTTTAGAGTATTCTGCCTGGCGTAAATTTAGCCTTGGTGATGGTTCTTAGAACCAGGAAAAAAACCTCATTGGCCCTTTTAAATGACCAGTGTGTGGCCAGTGCGTGTTAAGAGATTTTATAGTTTTCTGCCTGGCGTAAATTGAGCCCTGGCGATGGTTCTTAGAACCAGAAAGAAAACCTCAATGGCCCTTTTTAATGCTAGGTGTGTCCGTTGAGCTATAGAAGATATTGTAGTCTTTGAGGTTGAGGGGAGGAACGATGGCACCCCTGCTGCCAATGTTCCTCGAAAGAGAAAGAGGAAGAAGGAAAAGAAGAAAGAAGAGAGCAAGAAAATGTCTCCAGCTCAAGCCTTGTTAGCCTCCGGCTGTGATGTGGCCTCCTGCGCTGTGAGGTAAGTTCAGCTGAGTCTTGTATTCTTCAAAGTTTTAGGATATGGAGGGAAGTGGATGCTCTTCCACTACTGGATGCTCCTTTTTAGGTAAGTAACACCTGGAAATGGGGTAATAGTAAGCAGTGTGTACTGTGCATTCTTAGGAGTAAATTTCCAATGGCAGCTGAAGTAATGTCAGGGGTTTTTTTTTTCATCTCAAAGGCCTCTACTCTGCACCACCTTAGAAGACAGAAGACTCAGTCATCAGCCTGCAGCATCGATGGAAGAAGGAGGAATGGACCTTTAGATGACAGATTTTATACCATTCTTGCCTGCTATAAATTTAGCCATGGCAATGGTTCTTAGAACCAAAAAAACCTCCTCAGTGGCCCTTTTAAATGACCAGTATGTGGCCAGTGCTTGGTAACAGATGTTGTAGTTTTCTGCCTGGCATAAATTTAGCCCTGGCGAAGGTTATTAAAACCAAAAAAACCTCCTCAATGGCCCTTTTTAATCCTAGGCATGGCTGTTGATGGATTATAGATTTTATCGTTTTCTGCCTGTCATAAATTTAGCCATGATAATGGTTCCTAGAACCAGGAAAAAAACCTCATTGGCCCTTTTAAATGACCAGTGTGTGGCCAGTGCTTGGAAAGAGATTTTATAGTTTTCTGCCTGGCGTAAATTGAGCCCTGGCGATGGTTCCTAGAACCAGAAAGAAAACCTCAACGGCCCTTTTTAATGCTAGGTGTGTCCGTTGAGCTATAGAAGATATTGTAGTCTTTGAGGTTGAGGGGAGGAACGATGGCACCCCTGCTGCCAATCTTCCTCGAAAGAGGAAGAGGAAGAAGAAAAAGAAGAAAGAAGAGAGCATGAAAATGTCTCCAGCTCAAACCCTGTTGGCCTCCGGCTGTGATGTGGCCTCCTACGCTGTGAGGTAAGTTTAGTTGAGTCTTATATTCTTCAAAGTTTTAGGATATGGAGGGAAGTGTATAGTTTTCCACTACTTGTTCCCTTATGCCTAGATAAGTAAGTATAACACCTGTGTCTGAGGTAATAGTAGGCACTGTGTATTGTGCATTCTTAGGAGCAAAACTTCAATGGCATCTGAAGTAATGTCAATTTTTTTTTTAATCTCAAAGGCCTCCACTCTGCACCACCTTAGAAGACAGAAGACTCAGTCGTCAGCCTGCAGCGTCGATGGACGAAGGAGGAAAGGAACGCAAGAATGAAGATGATCTCCATCAAGAATGTTAATTCACCGTCAATCACAACTGACTTTTAGAAGAATTGCTGAAACTATAAGAGACTTTTGGTTCTAAGAGATCCGGCTGCTTCTGACATTACTTCTCAGGGGGGGAAGGTGGGAGGGAAGCGATCCCAAAGGATTCCCTCCATCCAGTTTGAGACTCAGCTGGACTCGCAACTCAAACGAAAGAGAAGGAGCCGTTTCTGCCTCTGCCAGGGGGGGG